CTACTGAGCTCATCGGTGATGCAGTCACCTTCCAAACATGTGAAACTTTTCTAGAAATGTGGGAACATTTTAGGTCTAAACCATAACAACAGCTGAATGTGGTATTAAAAGGTTCAGCCTGCTGGGAAGAGGTGGATCGCTAGAGTCAGGACCTGGAAGGTGCCTTCTTGTCCCTGACTCCTCCCTTCTCTATCTCTGCTTCCTGACTTCCATAAGGTAAGCAGCTTTGCTCTGCTTTCCCTTTACTGTCCTATTTTTGCCTTGGAGCCCGCCATAGACTGAACCCTGGAAAACCATGAGCCAAAATAAATCTCTCCTCCTTTGCGTTGTAGATGTCAGGCATTTTGTCCCAGATACGGGAAAGTGACTAATATACCTCTCCAGAGTTCTAGAACCTGCCACCTGAGAGCTGGCTGCTCCCTGTGACCACTACCTCTGTACCCCCTTGATGAGCCTTTGGGCTAACCATGTACACCCCCTCTGCTGAAATACCTCAGGTGTGTGTGGGTCTCCAGCTGACAGGAACCATGGTGAAACTGGTCACATTCCTCCTTGTGTTATCAGCCCAGAAAGTCAGGGTAAGAGTACGGCACAAGCCAAAAAGGGGCAGAAGACAATCTCAGAGAAGACAAAGCATCACTGCCTTGTTTAAGTGACACTTGGCTCCTGGGAACAGACTCACCAGCAACCCAAAGTCACTTCCTACTCTTAGCATCAAAAGCCATCCGCATGACCCTACACTTTAATTCCCCTTATGCTTGAGCAAACTCTGGAGAGTAATGCCTGAGCCATGATACTGAAAGACCAAAATCCACACCCTGATTTCTGCCTATGTTCAAAAGCCCCAGGCCAACTGAACCACGCAGAGAGGCCCTCCACTGCACAGAGCTTAACACGCCTGAAGAAACTGTCCTTGCCTTTCTACCACCACCCTCCCGGTCTTCTGAGCTGACCCAGGACAGACTTCTAGGAGCTGCCTGAGAGCAAGGTGGACCCCCACAGCCTAGCATGCCATTTTGTCTACTCTGCCTCTTCTCTTCTACCTATGCCCACTGACAACTACTGATCTGCTCTCTGTTGATACGTTTTGGCTTTTTATTTTCCTAGAATGCCATGTCAATAGAACACTTGTGAACCTAGCATTTAAGTTCCACCCACGCTACTGTTTGTATCCACAATTGCTTTTTATTGTCAAGTACCAACTCATTGTATGAATATGCCACGTCACCACACCTGTTACCCGTACAACAGGTAAGAGGGTAGTGGGCTTCCGGCGAGGAAGCAAAGCAAACAGAGGTCTAGGGGGGAGCTAAGCTTCCCTTCCTCTCTACAAACACCTCAGAGTGGGTGAGCTGGTTCACAGGGTCCGCGTACATTTAACTTTGTAAGAACTCACACTCTCCTGTCCTGTAGCTGGACCATTTCACACACCAGCAGTGTGTGGGAGCTCCCACTGCTCCACACCCTTGACTGCTCTCAGGTTCCTCGGCCTCTCGTTCCTGCGCAGGTTTCCGAACGGGTGTGGCTGGCATCACAGTGCAGTCTGCGTTTCTCTTCCCCACAGCGAATGATGCACTTCTTTGGCAAGACGTCTGCCGAAAGGCTTTGCTCGTTTCATTCGGCCCGCATCCCTTCCTCATCATAGTTTCAAGAGTTCTTTACATGGTCTGGACAGAAGTCCTTCATCAGATACGTGATCTGCAACTTTCTCTCACTCTGTGACTTTAGACTCTTTGAACAGTGTCATCTTTCCAAAGCAAATTTCTGATTTGCCACAGGATTTAATCACATCACCCCAACCTCCCCTTTGGTTTTTCATCCCCATGAGGGTAGATTCCAAGCTCCTTCACTGGGAGAACAGGGACCCTCTCTGCCTCTCCTCATCACAACTCTCCCCAAACTCCCTGTGTGAGCTGCCCGCTGCTGTCCTAGCAATACACCTTGCTCATGCTGTCCGCAGGGCCTTTGCACGCATGGCTCTCCTTCACGAACACTGCACTCATCCCCTGAGCCTCAGCTCCTACTCACCCAAGAGTGCCTCGCTCACTCCCACAGTGCTCTGGCCCATCACCTTGTTTCAATCTGTGTCACTGATCATTTGTGGAAGATGTCAACCGGTGGCAGGGAAGGGAAGGCTCACAGGTGCATCTTTGTCTTGTTCACCACTGACCTCCTGATTCTCAAACTAGTGCCGCCACAGAGTGGGGCCGCTACATACATGCTTCACACAAGGGAGCAGCAGAGTTCTGTTCCCTCATGGGCTCCTAACCACTGTTATAAATATGCCCTGGTTTCTTCAAAGTCCTTTGAATTAATCTCAGTCTTTTAGACAGAGCAAGCTACACTCACAATCAAACAGGACTTGAAACTCCTTCATCCTGGAAACCATGCTCCTGTTAATGTGGCCTAAGAAAACATTGTATTTGGAAGCAGATAAACCAGTGGTGACACAGAACTAGCCTGGTGGGGTCCATTCATGCCTCTAATGCCCCTAGCCCCACACCAGCGCTTTCTGGTCCGAAAGTGAGTTCAGTCCTCAGATGCGTGGCTCACACACTCCCAGCCCACAGTCCCTTGTGCCTCCCAACACGAGCTTCCTTGAGTCTCCCTGCATGATCTTGAGTGACACGGGGCCACAAGAGCCAGCTAGGGGCCCAACAAGGGCAGAATCTCCGGTCGGGCCAGGTCCCCTGCCGCCCTTCTCAAAACCCCCACGCCACTTCCCTTCCACCCGAACACGGCCTTCCAGGCCCAGCTGCAGCATAATAACAAGGACAGGTTCAGGGTTTGAAAACGCTCCTCTTAAAGACCAGAAAATTACTATTCAAGTTACTTAGCGAAAGCCATTATTTGCATAGACTTGGCATTGATACAACACTTCCCTGTTTAAACGGTCTGTAATTAAAATCATTAATTGCAGAAAATAGTGACTCCTTAAGGCTGTAATTTTGTGAGTTTCTCAGCATTCGAAGACCTGACTTACAGGTCAATAGGGTGACTCAGGAAACTGCCCACTTACATGACCCAGTCTTGGGTCAGGTTTATCCACAGCCCGTAGCAGGTGGAGCTACAGTGAGATGCGGTTTGTAGCGGGCAGCTCTCCTGTCCCTCCACACTCGCGAGGTTGGGCTTCATCACCCTGATGCCCATGAAGCTCCCAAACGGCAGGAATGGGAACCTTCCCCGGGAGAATCTTACAGCCGATAAAGAAGAGATTAGTCATCCTTCTCTTGGTGTTTGGTATGACACCAAATCCAACATACTCAGGCAGGGACTGAGCAAATCCACCGTGTACGTAAACTGTGGTTTCTATGTGCTAGTGTGCCTGCAGAGGCTGTCCTGTCGCCCTTACATCACCCACCTGGCAGGGGGCAGAGCCTATGGGTGGCTGGGCCCAGCAGCTAAGGCAGGTAGGGCAGGGCAGGCTGCACCCTGCACTCAGGAGAAGGAACCCACAGCTACATGTGGACAAGGGGGCTCCCCCTCCCACATCCGTAGCACAGAGGCTTGGACACAGGATGTGGATCCCTAGGAACCCTGGGCAGGAGCCCAATCTCCACTGATGATGGGCTTTTGGAAGAGAAAGCCCTCGCTGGGCCTGGGTCTGGGCAAATGGATGCCTAACTGTCCCACACTGTGACAGTAGAATAAAGACCATCCGAGCAACACAGGGTCTATGGGAAATCAGAGGGGCTGCCCAAGGATGAAAACCGCTAGGCACTTTGAGCGAACCTCTAGGCACTATACAAGGTCAGGGCTCAGCTTTGCCAGCCCTGGCATGGGGCCTGCCCACAGGACAGCCCCTCGTCCCCAGAATCAGGCACCAATGTCACCACCCCAAGTGATAGGCGGCTGCCTTGGGTACACAGCCCCAGCCTCATGACGCCCCCTTCCTCGCCTCATGGAAGCTGGGCATGGCCACAGGGCTCACCTGGGCTGACACAGCGTGTGATAAGGTGATGTGTGTCCCTTCCAAGTGGACAGCCAGCTCACTGGTCACCAGCTCCCCATCCTCCCTGCCTCGGTGACCTTGGAAATACGGGTGGACATGGACCACCTGTGGGCCTAGGCCACTGAGGGTCAGGAAAAGAGGCCTCCCCTGACCTGGATATGTCACCCAAGCAACCAAAGAGCCTTTGTCCTCAGCCAGAGATCCAGAGGACACTGCTGGTGCCGGCTGAGCTACCCTGAGCCTCCTAGCAAAGGCAGCGGCCTATAATGTGGGCCTCCTGCACATCTGTCTGTGTGGGGTTTTGGTGGCCTTTCTTTGGGGGTTGCTGTGCTGTGCTGTGCATGTGTGGTATTCCTGTGTATACACAACATTATTGTTTGTCCATGACACTGGTGAGGAGCTGTGTGTGTGTAACGTCCTTTATGTGTGCAATGTGAGTTTTCCTGCTTATGTGCAGTGTTTCTGGAAGGCATGTGACCTCTAAAGTGCTCATGGGAATTTCTTCCAAAGCCCTGTGGGAGAGAAGGCAGTTTCACCTGGGCACAGATCTTGGTCTTCAGAAAACCAGCGGTAGGGGAGCACAGAAGGAGTGACATGGTGCTCCAGGCAGTGGCTGCTGTGCTGAGGAAGGACTCCAGGGCCCTCTCAGCTACTGCAGGTGCTGCAGGAGGATGGAAGGAAGCTGGCCAGGCCAAGCGCCCGCACCCCAAGGGCCACAGCAGCCTTGGTACCCCTTCCTCCGTGTTGAAGCCAAACCAACATCCATTGCTTCCTACTTCTGGCGTTCCTAGGCAGAGCTGAAGGCCCTAGAGCTCCAGCCCCCACACCTGGCCAAACTGGCCACAAGGACAAAGCTCTGTCCAACATCATCAAATAATGTCATTGGAAAACAGAATCCTGCGGAGGGGAGAGATATGCCTGGGAGACCCCAGGAACATGAGCCAGGCCACTGTGGCTCTTCTGATGAGGAGGTGACCTGAGCACCAGCCCCCAGCCTCGGGGCTTTGCCGGAGACCCCAGCGGGAGGCCCAGAACCTCAGGCACTCACCTGCAGCTCGGTCTGGAAGAAGAACTTCTGCGGGCACTGGGAGCAGTCGTAGATCTTGTCCTCCTGCCCGTGCACAGCGAAGATGTGTTGCTGCAGCTTGTTGGCCTGGACGAAGACTGCACAGGACAAGACCGTCAGAGGGCAGGCTCAGACACCAGCCCAGCCACCGGGCAGCTGCCCCCTGCCTCCCTGAAGGAGGGACCACCCAGGCCTGATGAAGGTGGCCAGATGGTACCACTGGGAGCATTACCAGCACCTACTCGTAGTACTACTAGAGGGCCTCGAGCTAGTTAAGCTGAGCTCTGCCATTTTGTAGCTACGCAACCTTGGGCAGGTCACTTAATCTTTCTGGGCTTCACATCCTCACTGGAAAAACAGCTCAGTAGAGTATGAACCTTACTGGGTGATTGTGAGGATAAATGAGCTAATAGTCATGAAATGCTTAAAAAATGACCCCAGCCAGGCGTGGTGGTGCATGCCTATAATCTCAGCACTTGGGAGGCTGAGGCAGGAGGATCATCATGCGTATGAGGCCAGCCAGGACTACACAGTGAGTTCAAGACCAGTCTGGACTACATAGCAAGACCCTGTCACATAGTTAGGCCAGTCAGTGTGGCCTCCTCTTTATCAGCATCAGCCAGATACCTCTGAGTATGAGCTCTTCGACCACTTCACAGACCTGTAAGGTAAGGACTGTTGCTATCCCCATTTAATGGATAGGAAAACTGAGGCGCTAGGAATGTTGAGTGACTTGCCCATGGACCCACTGTGAGCAGGTGGCAGAGTTGAGACTAGAATGAAATAAGCTTAGCTCAGTGTCTGGGATGAGAAGTTGCTCAACCAGTCTGAATTGCTCTTCCTGTTGTCGGGGTTACTGTGAGCCTCCTCTGAGTGTGATGGTGACAGATGGGTGGGGGCTCCTGAGAGGAGGCAGAGAGGCACCAGGGCGTTCCAGGACTCCTGGGACTCCAGAGGGGAGAGTGTGGGGGCGGCCTTCCCAGGGCACAGCCCCTCTTCAGGCCTGTCACGGAGCAGGTCCCAGCCCCGGCCTCACAGTGGCAGAAGTCCCTCCGGGGCCCAGCCCTGGGCACACACAGGAGGCGGCCCTGCAGCAGCTGTGTGTCTGGGAGGTGAGCACTTCAGAGACGCCCTCCCGCCAGGCGCCTTCCCCAGGGTGGGCCCCTGCAGTGGCAGACGGCAGATGTCGGGAGGCAGGGGAAGGCCAGGCTCCCCCACGCACACCGGCTGCCATCTGGGCAGCAGGAGGGGCCTGCCGAGCCCCTGAGACTTGCCTCGGGCTGGGACAGCCGCTTGCCTGGGCTGGCAGCCAGTTTGGGGGCTGGGGACTTGGCCAGTAGGGCTGCCCTTGACCCCTCCAACCTGGAGCAGGGATGGGACATGAGCTAGGCCAGGGCCAGGGAACTGGGCCAGCCAGGGAGCAGGGGACCCCCCTCCCTCCTCAGTGCTGGACAGAACTCGTGGCTTGGGGAACAAATGTGGGTCCCAGGAAGAGCAGATTACAAAAGAACGGCAAGCAGGGTGGACCAAGGTTCCAGTAGCTATGCAGAGAAGCCGGGAAAGTGGCACCCAGCCTGCCCAAGAGGAAAGCCCGGAGGGTGGTGGTCAGGAGGGGTGTGGGTGAGCTCTGCATGGAGAGGGTGCAGGGCAGTGGCCTGTGAGCCTCAGGGCCAAAAGGGACATCGTGAAGGGCTGACCTGGGTCCCAAGTGGCACGTGCCCTCCTGTCATGCACACCCAAACCTTACCTGTGAAGCACACGGGACATTTGAAGGTGCCGCCCATGCCCTCGAAGCTGTGCTCGATGAGGTGACAGAGGAGCTTGGCCGGGGAGTCGAACATCTGGTTGCACAGCTTACACTCGTGGTTGATGCCTTCCTCTGCAAGGAAAAGCCATGACGAGTCAGTGACCTGCACCCGACTCCAGGCATGAGCCGGGGGGCCCCCAACCAGCCCCTCTCAGATTCTGTGGGATGCACACACACACCAAGATCCCTCTGGGATCCGGATGGCCCAGCCCCTAGTGACTTGCAGAACCCAGGGGCCCAGGTCTAAATATGTGGCTCTTGAAGACAGCACCGGCTCTGTTTTTTCCTGCTGGTCACATTCCATGTTCAACAGCTTGAATTCTGAGACCATATTGCTGTGGAAAGGGACCCACAATGAGATACTGGATGGAGAAGGGAACTCAACTAGGATTTTAAAAAATCTAATCAAATATTTATTGAGCATGTACTATGTGCCAGGAACTCTGCTCTGAGCTGGGGATTCTTCAGCAAACTACACAGGTACTGCCCTTGCCTCCTTCTGGTGGAGGGCAGGAGACAGATTACAGAAATGACTGGCACACAGTGAAGCCTCAGACAGTGAGCTATGCGAGGGGCACCAGGAGGGGGCAGGGCGAAGGTCTGAAGCAAAGGGACAGTGTATCCGAAGCTCAAGTGCAGGCAGGGTGGGCGGGCGGGGGGGGGGGCAAGGTGAGTCGGATGGACCAGAGGTGGACACTGCAGAGGCCGTGCCAGCTGCTGGAGGATTCTGGGATTTTATTCCGAGAGCGATGCGCAGCCACACTGGTAGATCATGCAACAAACAAAACATCCCCTCCCTCTCTGAAACAAGTGGCCTGCCCAGGGGAGCGCAGACAGTGAGTGAGACCCCTGTCGTGCTTCCAGACCAGAACACGGCTCCGACTCCACACCTGGGAGCTGCCACAACCCCAAACTCCATGCAGAGGCACCCAGAGAAAGGAGCCACCAAACACCAGAGTCACACCAGCAGGAGGGAGTCTCAGAGCCGAGGTCTGGCACTCTTGCCTGGAACCAGGCAGAGCTGAGTTCAAACCCTAGCTGTTTTTCCTCCATGTCCTACACCCTGGGCATCCATTCATGCTAAGCATGATGAGGAGGGCAGTCTGCACCCCTGCCTCGTGGCTGCAAGGGGATGGAAAAACAGATGCCCATGGCCCAGGGGTGGGCAGCAGGTGAGAGAAGTTGCTTGTTTCAGCATCCCGTCACCCAGAGTCCAAAGTGGGTTCTGCAATTACTGCGTGATTACTAACCTCCCTGTGCCTCAGTGTCCTCTTGTGGAAAAACTCAACAACCTTCCTCTTAGATTTGATGTGAGAATTAAGTAAGTTAATAAATGTGAAGCAGTCCCTAGCATACAGCAAGTGCTCAATAAGTGTTTAACTGCTGGGTACATCAGTAGTGGTAAAAGCGTTATCTGGGACAGCCGAGGACGCAGCCCTCCCTGAATTCCCACAGGGAACCAGTCTCACCAAAGGGGCCAGGTGCTCTGATTTGCCCTCAAAGGCAAGAATTAGGTAGCAGAGGGGCTCTGCCGGTGGCAAGATACAAACACAGATGGGCTGAGGCTCCTGGTTAGTCCCTGGGTCCCCAAGCCCTGGCAGGGGCTGGCAGGGACAGCAGGCATGTCCCCCAGCCTGGCAGTTCCCTGCCCCCGGACACCCTCCGCGGAGGCTTGCGTGCACACACACGTGCGCAGGCAGGTGGGCCTGCCCCACATAGCCCACTGGCTGGAATCTACTGGGTGTTTGTCATGCCCCTGGAGCCCCAGCAACTAGGCCACACGCACCCGACAGAGTTTCAGGTGGATCTTCCATTTATACTAACGCAAAAGGGATTCATTGACAAGTTTAGGGACACAGGGCAGGCTCAGCACACTCGCCACACAGGCCCCATGCACGTCCTCTCCTCCCACAGCGAGACCCTCATCATAATTAGAGATGGCCTCCGATGTGGGGGCGGCCTCAGAAGACCCCCCACCGCAACCCCTGCCCCCAGCATAAACAAGGCTTCCCAGTCACCAGCCCCGAGTGTGGGTTCAAGGGATGAAGGAGGCACTTCCCTTCTATGCGGCCTCCAAATTAGAATGCACACAGCTTTCGGACATGAAGGAGGCACAGGGTGTGTGCAGAGGTCTCTATGAGAGATTATAACATCTGAAGCTCAGAAGTCACCCTGCTTGCCAGGAACATGGAATTTCTAGGAAGAAGAAATGGGCTCCGACAATGAGACCCCTCACGAAGGTAACACAGCCAGCCAGAAGGGGGTGTTGCTCGGAACAGGGTCTAAAACTATCCTAACGCGTCTGTACTCCACCCCTGCACCGCACAGCACCTCCTGGCAGCCTCACCACATGACTCCTTCCTGGGCACAGTGACCCTTGACTCATTTTGCCATAGCACACAAGACTTACTGGTCCCTGCAACTAGCTGTGGGCCAGGATGATGTTTTGTGCTTTTCTGGCTTCCAGGCCCTCAGACCCCACCTGCACCCACCTGCAGGAGGGGCTCAGGAAATGGTGGTGGAGGAGAGGAGTGCAGGCCAGGCCCTCTGCCCAGCCAGAGCTGGGCTGGGGCTGCCACGGCAAAGGCAGATTTACGGCTCTCTGCAGAGCGGGCGCCTTTAACCACTGGCTGTGAATGGAGACATGCCTGTCTGATATACAAACACCAAGAGGACAAAGACGGCTCATGCAACTTATAAATCAGAGAAATCACGTCTGACAGTCACTTTCCGTTCTCCGAGTGCCGAGCAATTCATCAGCCGATCCCGTCTGATTCATAGAGGCAGCTACGCCCAGCGCCCACATTCATAAATATGTGCACAGTCAGGCAGCCGGGAGCGGCAAGCAGATTCCGGGGCCTAAACGGCTGCCGTTTTACGCACAACACAGCCCCCAACCGGTGTCAAAGTGAGGTTCCGGGCTAATTAGATCAAGAGCCCAACAGACAACTTCGTGTCTCGGGACCCTTTTGTCTCTTTCCCCCAAGAGCTTAAAGAAGTCAAACCTAGGGGAGGAGAAGGAGAAAGAAAACATGCAAAAAGTAAAATTAGGGGAGCCATAATAAAGCCTGAGGGGTACCCGCAGATCTGGGAGCTGCTCCCACTCAGGGAAGACCTTTTGATTTGCAAATGTTTCTGAAGCCAAGGGCTCCTCCCCATAGGAGGGGGAGGAGGTGATCCCCTGGGGGGCCATTATGTACCTCTGCCTATAAACCCATCCAGGAAGCTGGGGCAGAGCTGGGGAGGTGGAGAGGGGTTGCCCTAGTTAGTGTGACAAACACTCCTTTGCGTGCCTATGACCCAGTACGTGCGTGAGCCCACACATGCTGACAGAATTCACTGCACCATCACTCTCAGCCCGCTGGCGCCGACAAGCTCTCCCGTCCCAAGGTGCGGGGTCCGCAGACAGTGGCACCCTCTGAGAATCACTTTCTTGAATTATATAAGACCGCGCAGCACTCGGCTGACACCTTGGAGCAGAATGACAAAGCTGTCTGAGCTCACGGGCCCCTCCACCTGAGCAGGGGGGCTGGAGGATTTTGTGAGTTAAGACTCACAATTGCTCCCCTCCTTTCTATTTTTTCTTTTACAGCACATGACAGGCATCCATAAGAGAGACCCATGCAACCGAAGTGAATTATGCAGCCCCGCTCATTTGTAAAGTGAAGTGGAATGCAGATTTCACCTGCTGAAATTCAGATCTTGCCTCCTGTTCCCCATAAGTCGAGGTTGGCACAGGGAAATCTATTGATTTATTATGATTTTAAAAATAAAAATAAATAAAAACCCCCCAACTGCCAAACAACCAACCCGGCAAGCGCAAAAATCCCAGAGTCCCTCTCTCTTTTTTTCCTCTTCTGCTCAGGAATAATAAGTGTTAATTTTACACTTCATTTCTCAAAAAAATAATAGGATGTGCTTTTGCTTAAAACCAAGTCAGCCTGCTGGAACCTTTCAGGCTGAAACTGTGTCAGCCCAAAAGAGGAGCAGAGGGCTTTGTGGAAGAGCATCGTGCCGAGATGATAGCTCCCTGTAATGTCCTCGGCACCGACTTTTGTCTCCAAAAGCATTTGATCCCTGGCAGACACATACTTATTTCCATACAGGTCTTGGGGGAAGCCAGGAGGAGAGAGAGCTGATTATCAGCATCCTGAAGGTGAAGCTCAGGTGGGCCTCACTGATGTCAAAGGCAGGCCCGGGCACACATTCAGAGGCCATAATTTGCTGCTTGGGAGGGAGGAGCAGCAGGCTGCAGAGGGAGTGGACAGGGCATTGTTCTAGGGCTGCACTGCACTGAGCATGACCTGCTCCCACCATACTGCTGGGCCCAGCCCGGCTCTTCCCTTAGCAGGGACTGCACTTGGAGATGCTGCCCTGGGAGTGGGGTCACTAAGGCATGTTTATACCTCTCCAGGAGGGGACCCGAGACTGCCGCCTTGGGTGGCTAGGAAGCACAACACACCATCTCCATTGAAGTAGCAGCAATAAAAGATAGAAGCATTGTAACCAGAAAACGCTTGGGTTTGAACCCCAGCTCCAGCACTCTCTTGCCGTGTGGCTCACTCCCGCTGTGCTTTAGCTTCTGTGAGGATAGGGGAAGACAAGTCGAGTGTTTCCGGAACTGTAACCACAACATGAGCCCTCCCTGTGACACTCTTCCCAGACAGTCACACCTTCCCCACCTTACACACACAGGAGGAGCCTGCTCTGTGGGACCTCCTCCAAGAGGTCAGACCAGGGCTCCCTGTGTCCTTTCTAGCACCTTACCTGCCTCTGAGTTTCTTGATGGTGCCTCTTACCACCTGACACATTACAGATTAGGCTGTCTATTCAATTCCCTCCCTCTCTCTCTCTCTCTCTCTCTCTCTCTCTCTCTCTCTCTCTGTCTCTCTCTCTCACACACACACACACACACACACACACACACACGAAAAGAACCTCCATGAGGGCTCCGTAGGGCAGGCCTGGTAGCTAGGAGGTGCTCAGAAAGGAATCACTGGGGTAAAGCCCTCAGCACAATGCTTAGAATGTGGGGTGGAAGGTGCTGGGGAATGCCGCACTACATCCTGACT